CCTTCACACCTCATCCACTGCTGTTTCTCCCGCACAGAGGGTCTCTCTCCTGGACGGTTCCTCTTCCTTCCATCTATGCCCCTTCCCGGTGCTTATGTTCTTCATATCACACTGCTACTTTTTGCAACTTTTTGTTATCAGTGCTGGGAAGGAAGGGAAAAAAAGTCAGTATTTTTTCCTCTGCGTTGACTGATGTGTTATTTATCTTTTAGCTGGGGTTGGGGGTTGTGCTCGCGATGTTTCTTCTCAAATCTAAAGATTTTAGAAGTGATAGGAGATGACTTGTACAGCCTTATTCTTAGCTGTCATCTCAAAAGAATATTTAAATATTTTAGTCTTCCTTCCTCCTTTTTTTTTTTTTTTGCTTTTATTTTCTGGTGAATAGACCTTCTCTGGGTGTCTAGTGTTTGTTGCTGAGGTACTGGTTATTTTTTACATAAAATGTGTTAGAAATGGTTTAGTAGTGTCAGCTGCTGTTGAAAAGCGCCGGGCGCAAGAGGGAGACGCAGAGCGCACCCCGTTTCTGCCCGGGGTGCAGAGTGCTCTGCTGTTCCTCAGCTGCAGCTTTTCTCCCAGAAAATTGCTGCTTTTAGAGCAAGACAAGGGGTTTTCATGAAAAGGAGGCTCTGCTTCAGTTTTAGGCCAGACGCTGAGGGCCCTGGGCAGTTCAGACTCAGAAACGACCGTCGTCACCGCGAGCCCGGCTGCAGTTTCGTTTCCCGGCGATGAACGGGCGGCGCTCGGCGGGTGGAGGCCTGGGCTGGAGGCTGATGCCCCGGGTTGTCCTGGGCTGCAGCCTGGATCGCTCTCGTCGCCTGCCCTTGGGAGCTCATCCCGGGGCAGCAACGGTGCCTGTGCAGGTAAGGGCAGAGGCAGCGAGGAGGCTGCTGCGGACTGCGGGTTCGCGCTGCTGGCGGAGGAAGTGTGTGTTTGTGCACCCTGCCCTGGCCGTGCTGCTGGGGGGAACGCGGCTGCTCGTCCCTCTGCTGCCGCCCACGGTGCTGCGAGCAGCGCCCTGCAAAGGGCCCTGGGGGCAGCAGCGAGTTGGTGCTGGTGGCAGAGGAGGTTTTCAGCATGAGGAAGGAGCCTCCTCGGCTCGGGCTTGGGGTGTCTCCCGCCGCAGCGGGGAGCGTGCTTGCACAGCACGGCCCTGTGTGAGCAGCTGAAGAAATGACCACGCATGAAGGCTTTTTCTTCTTGCCAGGCTTAAGTTAATGTTGACAATTAGGCATACAGGGAGCTCGCATCGCCAGTATGCCCTTGGAAAGTAGCACTTTGGTAGCTGTTGCAGATAGGATTTTGTGCCCCCAGGGCTGCTGCAAGGGCTGTGCTCCTTCTGGGCATCCGCAGGGCCGGGAGAGGATGTGGTCCGTGCGGCTGCCTGAAACGTCAACGTGTCATCAGGGTTTCTCTTCCACATTTGGTGTCGGAGCCTCTACACGCCCAAGGGCTTGTCACGCATGAGGGGCCAGTCGGGTCATTGGCTTATTTTTGTTTTTCATGGTTTTTTCCTCACTCTCTTTTTTCTTATTTATTGAAATTACGTGCTTCCTCGCTGTGAGCTGGAGCAGTGCTTGCTGGGTTTGGGATATGCCAGGGAAGGAGCCCACCCTGCAGGAATGGGGCTGCAGGTCAGCATCTACCTTGTTTTCTCCAGCTGTGCTGGCTGTGGTCGTCTCTTACCTCCCTGTTCCACTTGTATCTTGCCTTTACCACAGGAGGGGTGGATGTGCTTTAGACACAAAATCTAGGAAACTGCTATTTAGGACAAAGTTTCCCTGGCAAAGGCAGAGTGGGGAGAAAGAGGTAGAATATCCTCCAGCTGCTCTACCTGCTGCAGTTGGCATCTGCTGCCCCCAGAGGCAGCAAATCCTCTGGCCAGTAAAAGAGGAAACTTAAAGGTATCCAGTATAACTTTTATCTTTGCACAGCTTATTGCATCCCTGAGATTTTTCGGATATCTGTGTATCAAAAGGAGATGTGGCAGCTCTATAGCTGTGACACGTGAGAGGGCAGGTGGCATGTGCAGTGCCTGGGTGCCAGGGCCGAAGGGCCAGTGCCACGGCCCGTGAGCTGCGTCTAACCCTGTCTGTCAGAGGAGGCTGTTCCCGGGACCCCGGAGGGAGCAGCCTTGAAGTAACGGAACAGAGAGATAAACTGGGGGCTGTGGTCCATGGGAGGCACGTTACAGGCTGCATGTATTTATACATGTATATGTGTATTATGTTGCTCTGCTGGGGAATGAGCTTGTGCCTGTACCTCTCCTCCAGACCAGCTCCTCGGGCCGAGCAAGCCAGTGGTGTCTGCAAGCCCCGGTGCAGGACCTGGGGCAGACGAGGGCGCAGGAATGGGTCTGTCCCACGCCGGCGGCCAGCCCGCCACGTTCCCCGTTCCCCAGCGGTGCTCTCTGCGCGTGGTGAAAGCGCCTCCGAAGTGTGTCACGCTGCCGGCAGCTTTCACACTGCTCCCGCCTGACACCGAGGTGACCTCTCGGTCGTTAGTCACCGCCCGGCACCGCCGTGACAGCAACTGCGAGCGGAAAGCCCGGGCACGAGGGGTGTGAGGCGCTACCAGCCCTGTGGGGCCTGGCATGGAGCGGGACCTGCACGTGCTCCCTCACCATGAGGGCCCTCGAGCGCTGCGGGAGCTCTGCGCCTACTCCCACAGGAGTCCTGTGAAGGTCCCAAGGGAGAGGGTCACACTGCCTGTGTCCAGCCTTGGTAATCCCTAGAATTGGATCAATATATTGGGAAATGTCAGCGTTAGAAGTTTCTTATTGCCTGTGTGCCACAGCTGCTAGGGAGGGCAGACTTGGCTAGCGCCGGGCCGAGGGGGTTGGTGCTCAAGTCGGGCACAAGGTGGGCAGTTGGATACATGGGCTGGCCGCGGGCTCCAGCCTTCCTTCCCTCCTCATGGCAGCACTGCCAGAGCTCGGCACGTCTCAGGGTTAGCCCTGTCCAGACTTGGGTCCACAGAAACCTGGGGGAGTCTGGAAGGCAGAGCACATCTGCGACTAGGAAGGCTAAGTTGCAAGTATTCAAAAGTTTGGCAAATATGGTGAGATTGCTGTTTTTTTTTTTTTTGTAGCAAGGTCAAAGGCAGCTAGTGAAGACTCCACCTTGATGGTTATCATTTGCTGTGGCACAGGGCTCAGGCTTGCTTTCAGATAGCAGTGACGTGTCCGGTGTGGAAGGGGAGATGCAGAGGGATCTGTCTTGTCAGCCAACGCATGGATCATCTTCATCTCCTGAACATTGTGAAGCTTGCCAGAAAGGTCAGGAGACTGTAGCTGCCTCTGTCTGGTGTGGGAGAGCCTGGCCACCTGAGTCAGGACGGCAAAGGACAGTTCTAATAAATCAAACCAGAAGCTCCAGTTGGAAAAAATGAACAAACTCCAACAAGCAGAGCTGCCAGGAGGGTTTCCCCATGCTGCCCAAATCCTTGGAGGCTCCCAGAGGCTGTGGCAAGGGCCGGAGGGCTGCTTGCCCTATGGAGAGTTTGGTGCGAGGTCGGCATGGCCGGGTAGTTGGGCTGTCTTGGCCGAGTGTGGTGGTGTTTATTGCTAGGTGAATGTGTTGCCTTGGGAAGGCGCTGCCTCGGGTGAGCAGAGTCTGCTCAAAGCAGGTTTGCTGTAGGAAGCCTGGTGCCCCCTCCGCCCCAGTTCCTTAGCGGTTACTGGCAGAGAAACTGCCTTCCTGCTGCAGCTAAAATAGCTCTGTGTTTTGTGCCGCGCTTGGGCCTGAGGGGCTCGCAGGGGCGGGAGGTGCAGAGGGGCCGCGCCGGCACCCGGGCCCATCTGCTCGCAAATGAATATGGCCAAGGCACCTTGTGTTACTAGAGAAATGGGGATGTACCAACAGATGCTGCTCTCGGATATCCTTCAGGACAGAGCTTAGTTGCCCGTTTCTTTCGGCGCCCGGCCCGTATTGCAAAGGGGCAAATCAGCACCCACGCTTTGCTCACCGGCCCTCGCCACGGGGCTGGAAAACGGGGCCCCAGCATGTGCCGAACCGGTGATTCCCACCCCGGCAGGACGCAAGGGCTCTTAGAACGTGGTCGTAGAGGGGACTAGTTAGCTGCTTTGTCCACTAAGGAGAATAAGCGTGTGGTGGGGCAGGATGTGCTGCTCTGCCTTGGAAAACCCCGGGTGGCAGCTCGTACCGGCTACGTGGGTTCTGGGGCAGGACGGGAGATGAGCTGCCCCCTCTGGGGACAGGCAGCAAACCCGGCCCCTTTACATTTAATTTATTAAGACTACACCGTGCCAGTAAAAAGCATTTTATTTATGTTCAATATTTTGTAATAATTTCTCATTACTTTCTTTAGGCAAGTTTTTATCTTAATAACATTGAAGAGACGTCTAATGCGCAGTTCTCCCTCCCTCCAGCTTTTTGGATAGTAATGGGAATGCCATTTGACTTATATGATGCCAATGTAAAGCTTTTCTGCAGTACAATTGCAAATTCTTCAGGCCTTGTATTGCAGTTGGTGACAATATTCCAGCTATTACAAGGTATGAATAAGGCTGTAAACTTGTGTAAAGCAGGATCAATGTCCCACTGCTACTGTGGTTTGAGCTGCCAAAAAAAAAAAAGGAAAATTTGCAACTTATAGAAACATCTCTCTCTTTTTTCTCCACGTAATGTTTTTGAGGATTTTTTTTCTTGTTTGATACTTGGAAGAAAGAATCTATTTCTCTGTCAGCTGCATAAAAACTGGCCAAAGGGGAACAAAAAAGCTGTGGTGCTGGCTGTACTTGCTTAGGGTTTTCAGTGAAAATGAGAAGCAGTTTTTACCGTAGAGAACTTATCATTTTACTCAGATTTGCGTAAGACATGGAACCATCTGTGGCAGCTTAGATCATTGCATCAGGATCTGGCATTGCATTTTCAATCGATGGCAGTTTTCTTACGTCTCGGTTGTTCCCGTGAGCAGAAAGTCCCTCCGTCCCACGTGTGTTGGGCGCGTTTTGCGCTGATGGGCTCTGCCTGGGAGCCACCTCAGCTCTCAGCTGCTTCACTGGCTTCCGACCTGGACTTTGCCAGCTTGGGGGAGGCTCTTTTAAATTCCTTGTTGACAAAGTAATAGCAAACGGCATCCAGGCAGCAGTTGACGTTTGCGAGGACTGAGGCGAGGTGGACAAAATTGTTAACCCTCTGTATGGCAGCGCAGTTGGAGCTGGTGGAGTCCAGTATAAAGCGAAGGAGATGCCCCATGTGAAGAGGCAAAAAGCACAGGATGAACACAGCCATATTTGCAGAAACAATGTGGACAGCCTTCCTGATGAGCTTTTCTTCATGACACTTTTCCTTTTTTTTCCTCACGAGCTCTGCAATGACTCGTATGGAGCAAAAACTCAAGATAATAAGTGGTATGAAAAACCCTCCGATAACGACGCCCAGGGTGATCACCGAGGGCTCCGTGGAAAGCTTCTCAAAGCAAAGTTCACCTTGCTCTCGGGTCTCTACTTTTTTAATGAGGAAAATAGTTCCAATGATGACTACCCAAAGAAATCCAGAGGCAAGGGCGGCCTTCAGGGGAGACCTCAGCATCTTGGCTTTCAGTGGGTACTTGATAGTGAGGTATCTGTCAGCTGCTACCACGGTGATTATGCTGATGCTCATTAAGCGGTTGACGAAATAGGCACCTTCCAGAAAGAGACACCATCTATCCACTTTCAGGTGGTAGAACTGGGAGAGTATTTTAAAAGGCAAAGTAAGGAGCAGTGAGCAGTCAGCCAGGGCTAAGTTGGCCATGTACACCCTCGTTTCTGTCCACTCGCCCAGTTTGCAGCAGAACACCCACAGCGCCAGCGCGTTGAGCACGCTGCCCGAGAGGAAAACCGGGATGTAAACACAGAGCTGGACGAGCGGGAAGCTTTCGTAGGCTGTGATATTGCAGCTGGTGTGGTTCATTTTGGAGGCAGGAAGAGGCGCAGCTCCTGGAAAAGCAGATGAAGCCTGTTAGAGTCTGGACTGCCGAGCGCGTGGCGAGTGTTTCGGGTAGCGCCTCGTGGACCTCAGTGCTTCACGGATGGTGGAAGCCACCGGCAGAGACCTTTTTTCTGGGCAATACTGTTTGCAGGGTTACCCAGCGGTAAGGGGAAGGAGAGGGACGTGAATCAGTCATGGAGGAGAGAAAAGTGCAGCCTGTTACTGGGTCACTTGCAGAGGCCGAGACTCCTGATGAGCGGCTGCAGTGGAAAAAGCCTGGGTGTTTGTGTTGAACCCGACCCAGATCAGCAAGAAGCAAATATCCTGCAACCAGGAGCTACGCGAGGGGACTGAGCCCATTCAGCAGTGCAGAGGAGAGGTCTGAGCCCTGCTCCCATCCCTCTCTTTCTGGTACTGCTCAGGAGATGCCAGCCAGGATCCTTCAACTCCAAGTGCTTCAGGAGATGTGCAGCAAAGGGACAGCTTCTTCCCCTTCACTCCTGAGCTCTAAGCACCTCTTCTTAATAGAATGAGGGCAATTATTAGTAGCTCGGTGGTTATGATTAGCTATCATCTAATCCTCTGTGAGGACCACGAGATGTCCGTGGAGTTTTCCTGGAGGGACAAGGGGCTCTGTGTGTGCAGCATCCTGAGCAAGCAGCCCCTAGGGCAGTGCTGAGGAGGCTCCCCACGGCCACAGCTTCTGAGCAGCCTTGGAAATCGAATTAACCAGAGGATCCTGTCCTCACATCTCCTCTCTGGAGGCAAAACCATGTGCTTCAATGTGGGTCTGCAGCAACATTGTGCTTCGGTTCCCATGTGTTTTGGATAGGAGGAACGAGTTACTGGCCTGGAAGAAACCAGTGCAGATTGTAACGAGATTGCAGGGAGACTCAGCAGAGTCTGGGGCAGCTCTCCAGCACTGTGAGCTGTCTCCAGCACCGTCTACTGTGGCCAGAACCCACGTGAGCCTTTGAAAATAAGCAGGAGCCAGCACTTTATCTGCTGCTCCGCAGCCCTTTGGGTTTCCCGCTGCGGGCAGGGCAAGGCCAAGCCTCGCGGAGCTGCAGCAACCCGCTCGGCGCGTCGCCACGAGGAGTTACCTGCTCGCTGGCTGTCCCCTGGAGACCAGGTGTTCCTGCAGGGCAGCTTCGGCCGTCCCGCGGGCGCAGGTGACTCCTCCGAGCGGCACCTCCTGGTGCGTGACCAGGAGCTCGTGCAGCGCTGACCATTTCCCCGTCGCTGCGGTGGCAGAGAAGCGGCACCCGCCCCTGCTCAGAGCATTTACCTAGGGCTGAGCTTCCTCCGAAACGGCCTGGCTTTGCACCACCCCTTGGCTGAGGAGTCCTAGGTAGCCCTGGAGAGGTGAAATGTTTGTCTGCCATGCCTATTTGCAGCGGTTTGGTTATCAAACAGCTTGGTTTTTTCTTTTTTTCTCCCTTTGATTTATTTTCCAGTGTCTTACTGATCACTGGGTGATCGCCTGCCAACCCCCCTTGCCACGCCAGCCGTGCAAGATGTTTGGCACCAGCTCGTTGCCTCGAAGAGCTTCCCGGGACCGGGTGAGTGGCTGTGGTTTGCAGGCAGTTTTGTGTCTTTCATAGACGGGTTTCAGTCTGAATCAACAGTAATTTTCTCATCTTCCATACTTCCCATAAGCCAGTAATTCTAAGAAAATGAAGAACCGTGACCCTGTGACCCTGTGAATTCTTGACCGTAGTCGCTTTCTGTGCCACCCCGTGTGCTTGTCACCACCTAGGAAATGCCCTCTGGGCTTCAGATACCTGCTCCAAAACCTCCAGGTAAGGAACTGTCTTCACATTTTTCTGCCTTCTTCATGAACAGATTATTTACTTTTTTTACCGACATTGTTACTCACATTAAATAGTTCTCTCTAAAATTTCTTTCACACTCTGCCACAATCTGCTCTCACTTTCCCACAGCTTTTCTTTTGCTCTCCTTCCCTACCCGAGGTCCCACAGGTACTCGCTCCGTGCGAGTTTGATGCTGAGCGCGGTGGGCCAGGGCTGCAGAGGAGGCCCTGCCAGTGCCCTGTGCCGGGCACTGCCCGCTGCCAAGGTGAGTCCCGTCAAGGCAAGCGTGGTGACACCAGCACAGGAGCTCAGCTGATGCCCCTGCCGGTCTGTGTGCAGAAAGCACCTTTTGTAACAGAGCTACTGGTCACCAGCGCTCAAAGTGTGGTCTGCTGTTGTAGTTTTTCTCTGCTCTTCACCTTCTCTCTACCTTTTCCTGTTCAAAAGACTAGTGCCTTAACACCCTTTAGCCTTCCATTGCAACCCATTTGTAAAGAAGAGCTCGAAAGAGCTGGCCAACGTGTTCTGTAGATCCCACTTTTAGTACCTTGCGAGGCTGGCTAGGGCAAACACGTCCCCTTTCCATTTTCCAGTTGATCTCAGAGCAGCTTTAAGAGTATTTGTGATTGTGTATCGCAGCCAGGCCTTTGAGGTTGTCTCCTACATATAGTCAGTGCAGTATTTCCAGAGACTGCTTTCACAGTTCTTTTAGTTTTGTCTTGAATTGTAGGGCTCATTTTTTAATACACTCAGCTGTTTGATACCAAACCACCATTATTTCCATGCCATGATTCTTGCTGGTCTTTAAGTTTTCGGTTCCTAGATTTCATCAGCTCCAGGTGCTCCCTATGCACTTCTTACGTCTGTGCCATGGCCATTGCTACTGACATTCCCCGTGGTCTGACCCCAAGCTGAGCCTGGATGTGGCCCAGCCCGTGGCGTGTGCCCAGCGCTGTGCTTGGACCTGCTCTTCGCAGCCTGGTGCCATGGTTGCTGCACGCCAGCCCACACGTGCTATCGTGGCAGGACTTCAGCAGAGGGACAGACACAGTGTCCTCAGTTGTAGAGCATGGGCTTGTTGTCAGCGGGTTTACTAGGATGTGTGAGAAAAACTTCACACCTGCTATTGTAGGCAAAGCTATGATTAAGTGTTATTTGATGAGATCTTACATGTCTGCAGAGGGGAGCCCAGGCTCTGGTGGTGGTGTTTTGGGTTCATGTCTGGTTCCTTGATGCTGCTACATCAGGATCCTCTTTCTTGTGTTTTCTCTTCCCTGATTCCTCACCAGTCACCTTCTATAGGCTCTGGGGGTTGCTCACAGCCCATTTCCTCCTTCCAATGCCAAGTTTTACCCTATCTGCCCTGGACAGCTGCTGCTCCCTGGGCCTTCCCTCCTGCCGTGGCAGCTTTCAGCAGGCCTCAGCTTTGTGAGTGTTGTGACAAGTGGCACTTTCACTGCTGCACCCTTAGCCTTTTGCCTGGCAGCTCTCTGCAGGGCTTGTTTTGTGGCCCCCAGGGCCGTGTGGGTCGCAGTGAGTGCACGTTGCCCTGCAGAGCTCTGGGGCTCCACAGCGCTTATGCTCAGTGTGATTTTACTTTTTCCCCCCCCACCCTTACTTTCTCATGGGAAGATACGTGTTGTAACACCAGATCTTGATCAAAACGAAACTGCGAGTCTGGAAGCAGCCCTATTTTTAGTGTGGAAAACCTGCAAAATAACAGTTTTAGTCCAAAATGCACAAGCTTTGCAGTGTAACCAAACCCCGGCAGCTGAGACTGTTTGCCAGTTTCCTCTCTTGCAGTTTGATCCTCCTCTTCACAAACGCTCAGCTTTTTAATTTTTCTCAAGCCTGAATGTTGAATGCAGCAACAATTGCTCATACAGAGATTAGGTCATTGTTAGCACCTTTTTCTTCTAGGGGACAGGCAGATTGTATCAGCCTTAAATGTTAAGAGACGACACAGTGGTTTTGTGGCTTTTGTCTGGAAATAGCTACGTTAATGCATCTATAGAAGATAAGAGTGTTTAGGTATAGCCCGTTCAAAACAATTTGTGGAACAATTCATAGGTGCAAATACCTGGAAAACCACTGGATCCTAAGTGAACAGGGCTGAGAATCCCGAGTGTCTCTAGGAATTTAGGTATCAGAATTAGTGGCCGTGAATAAATAGGAGGTTTTGGGTGTACTGGGAATCCTTGGCTGTGCAGGCAGGATTCAGAGCCCGCCGTGGGGCCGGATCAGCCTGCACACAGCAGGGCATGGGCAGAGACCATCAAGAATTTGTGACTGCAGCTGCCCAAAGGCCCCTTCTCCCCCCATCCCGCCTCCGTTGGGTGCTTGTGGCTCTTCACTGCTTATTTTGACCCCTTTTCCAGGTTTTGCTGGTAGCCTCTTGGGAATGAGAGAGCGAGGCAGAAGCCCAGGAGCACCGTGGAGGCCTGTGTGGGCCCATGCGTTTTTCAAAGAGGTTTTCAAAATTAATTAAAATGTGGGCCCAACTGGTGTACAGGAGCTACATGCGACGCTGTGATAAGGAGCAGAAAATCCACAAATGAAGTCAAGAGTCCTTCCCCAGCAACACTTGGTGCAAAAGGGTTGTGCTGACTTAAGCAGACATCCCTTTACAGGGTAAGAGCAGCTTACATACTTTTCTTCTACTGCTTCTGTAGTGTTTTGTTTTTATTCAGGCCAAAGAACATTTATTGTTTGCACAAAAATTGTGTCTAGTCATAAGCATCTGTTTGCTTTGTTTTTTACAAAATCGTGTTTAACAAAGTGCAAGCTCTGCCTGCCGGGGACGCGGACAGACTGGGGCTCCTGCTTAGCATTATCCTAAGTGCGAAGATCCTCTCGGATCACTCTTCCAGTGCTGGATGGTGGCTGGTAGGTTGTTACAGCCCAGATGCCCTCCCAGTTAGCGGGAGCACTCAGAGACGTGAGGTAAAATTCAGAGTCATGAAAGGTGTCAGAAAGGAACCCTTCACTGTGTCCAGTTCTGGGCCTCCCAGTACAAAGAGGGATGTGGATCTACTGGAGAGAGTCTAGCAAAAGGCTACAAGGATGATCAGGGGCCTGGAACATCTGCCCTGTGAGGAGAGGCTGAGGGAGCTGGGCCTGTTCAGCCTGGAGAAGAGAAGGCTGAGAGGAGACCTGAGCAGTGTATAG